ATATAGTTTATATTTAATTGCTATTTCATTATTCACTCAATGAAAAACTTGACCATTTAAGCAAATTTGCCATTAATCAAAATAATTTATATTTGGATTGTGATGAAAAAACAAAAATAAATAACATTTTGACTTACTTAAATTATTTTTGTTATTAAATTATAGTTTTTATAGATAAAAAAATAAAAACAAATTGATTAATTGATTAAAAAATATTCTTTGTGTTCAATAATTAAATCGTTGTCAACATGAAAGTTATCGCCACACAAACATAATAAAGTGAATGTGTTGTTACACATTTAAATTTATTATATTACACTTTTAAAAATTGTATTATTTTTTATTTTGAACAGTCAAAACAAATATAATAAATAATAAATAAGTTTTGTAATAAAAGATATTTGAATTAAACGAACAATATTTTAAAGTAAAAACATTAAATAATTTAAAAATGAAATGATAAAAATAATTTTCATCATCCAGAACAATTGCATATGTTTGTCATAACCCAAACAACCAGTTTTAATTGTTTATTAATTACAACAATACATACAATTAGTCAACAAACAAAAAACACAACCACAATAAAGTACACTATTACTACAAAAACGGCTAAATATAACAACAATTTAATCGTGTTAAATATTAAGATGTCGGATACCAACTTAATACAGTATATGATCAACACAACATTAAACAGCTCAGAATTGTTTATAAACCAAAATATCATGTAAAATATTAATCACAACACAAACAAATAAAATAATAAATTTGGTTGTATTGATTAATTTCGATGATGAAATTTTAATTACCTTATTTATATAAAAACTTGAATTAAAATTTGGTAAATTAACATATACGTATTATTTAACAGGTTCTAAAGTTGTCTCTTAGTTGTATACATTTTAATTAATTACAAAAACAAAGTTAGTGCAAAACATTTGAATACATAAATAAAAATAAACTTTCGTGTTGATTTTTTTATTAATATGTTTTTTGATATAATATTAAGAGATAAAAAATTTAATTTCTGATTGGTGCTTATGTTTAATAATTGTGACATATTGCTTGTTCAATGAAAAATCTTTAAAAATTTGTCAAAGCATATTACATTTTTATTTAGTCATTACATCGTTATCCACAAATATTATACAACGACTTTTGTAAACAATTATATACAAGTGTTATTTATTATTTTATTTTTACTCACTTATCATAATATATTTTCATCTTACAACATACAAAATGTAAAACCATTGTATTTTATTAACACCACAACAATTATAAAAGTAATATAAAAACCAATTATATTATTATTTGTTAATAATTATTTATAATAACAATTATCTAAGTGTTTAATATAACAATTAAAAATACTTTATTAGTATAGTTCTCAAGGGGATTTTCTTAATGAGAAGATTTATTGATGAGAGGTTTTCCTGTAAAAACAATTGTTTTTTTAATGTGTTTTATAAGAAAAGTTTATTATAATAATAAAAAACCAAATAAGTCGTAAAACACCATAAATTTAAAAATTAATTTCAGTGAAAAAAAAACAATTATTATTCTTGTTTAAAAACAACTTATATTATTATTTTTTATTTATTAAGAAGTTGTTATTCGTTGGTTTATTTTTTAATATAAAAATTATTTGATATTAATAAAAATTAATTGATAACAAATAATTAATTTAAATGTGTGTAAATAATAATTTTCAATATTAATATAATAATAATCTTATAATTAAAAACAAATGAGGGATTTATTCTTTTGGTAGATAAATTTTGTGCTTTCAAAACGTGTGCAGTTTGACTACACTCTGCAACTTATTATCATAATAATAATTAAAAACGCTTACTTGAAGATAAAAAACACTCAATTCATTTTTAAATATTTACAATTAAAAAACAAAATACTCTGGGTTATAAACACAATCTTATAAACAATAATATCATACAATGCCTTTTCTTTTGGGCACATTCTTTCTATTAACATTTGCTCAAAGTTTGTGTACGATAACATCGAATCCTCAAAATGGCAATTGTGCAACTTTGG